TCACTCTGTCCCCTGTCACCCCTACCTTCCCTCACTCTGACCCCTGTCACTCTCTCCCTCTCTGACACTGCCACCTGTCAACCCCTCCCTCAGCCACCTGCCCACCCTTCACTCTGCCACCCCCTAACTCTGTCACCCCATCCCTCCCTCAGCGACCTGTCACCCCCTTTCACACTCTGTTAATCCCTTCCACAATCTGTCACCCCCTTCCACACTCTGTCACACCTCTCCACACTCTGTCAGCCCCCTCCACCCTCTTTCACGTCATTTCACACTCTGTCATCCCCTCCACTCACACACACAGTCTCCCCTTTCAACACCCTGTCACCTCCCTCCACACACCCTGTCACCATTCCCCACACACACACTGTCACCACAGACAAAATGCACAAAGGCCACAGTCCACATACAAAAAATACCGCAAGCAGCTACCACACACACATACGGTCCTAGACACAAACATACACATGCTCACAGAAACATACATTCACATACAAGGGTACTCACTGTCAGACGCACTCTCAGGCACATACACAGACAGACAATGCCAGACACATTCAGAAATACACACAGCCAGATAAACACATTGTGACTGTATGTCTGTATTAGTCAATATGTGTGCATCAGTGTGTTTGTGTTTGTGTGTGTGTGTGTGTGTGTAAATGCATGTGCATGTATCAGTGTGTATATGTATTTGCGTATTAGTGTTTAAATGTGTGCGTGTGTCTGCGGTGTGGTTGTGGTATGATATGGGCAATGCAAAGATAAAGTTGCAAGCAACATATATATGCATACATACATACATACATATAAAATACATAGGGAAACACATATGTGATAATATACATGTTAAGGAATTTAGAATATGTGGGGAAATGTCAGGCTATACAACCATACCCAGCAATCGTATACAAATGATTAGCAATTTATGTCATATCTACAGTAAAAGTGCTCACAACGCAGCGGCATAGGGAGCTGCGGCAATTTTTTTCACTAATGGTGTAAATGGGGGGCCTCATGTTTGACTTTCGCCTAAGGCCTTGCAAAGTCTAGAGCCGCCTCTGGGTGGGGGCCCTACAGTAAAATAAGGGGGGGTGACCTAATGTCCTCCCATCTGACCCCCACCCCTGAGCGGCGGGTGGGGGCCCTAAATTGGAATAAGGTACTGTGGGAATTAGGGAATTATCTACTTATTCATTCCTGTCATTACATTGACTAGCCAAGTAACTTACATTTTCTATGAATGTATGTTACTTGATTGTTTTAAGTGTTGCAAATGCTTACAGCTGAATCCTGGCTATGTGTGTATACTTTTTATTTAAAATTGTATACAATGTAACATTCTTCTTCTTTCACTGGGTAAGTATATTAGTACTTAGGCAATACTGTGCTTCGGAACTTTGGCACTTTGATACTTCGGAACTTCGGTAATTTTGGAACTTCGGGACCTCTGCAATTCGGCACTTCGGACATTCGGAAGTACCCGAATGTCCGAATTGCCAGAAATTCATCCGAATTCATATTCGGACCAAAACTAATTGCACATGTCTAGCAATTAACTTCATGTCCCTTTGTTTCTCCCTTCCCCGTCTTTTCATCCATTCCAAACTTTTCCTACAAGTTAAATTTTTACATTCTTATGTGGTCACATTATATCGTGCATATATAATTACGTGTCTACTGCCACAAAAAGAAAAACCTAACCAAAAAATATTAATCCGTTCACCTATTTTATATATATACGGCCCCTAGGTCGTTGTTCTAAATCCAGGTTTTGCTTTTGTGCCTTAAGGGACCACTATAGTCACCCAGACCACTTCGGCTCAATCGGAGAAACTACTTCCTGACAGCCGCTAGAGGCACTTCTGCGACGCTGAATGCGAAAATCGCATTCAGCGTGCAGAACGTCCATAGGAAAGCATTGCAAAACCGAAGCACAACCGAAGTGAGAAAATTGGCACAGTATCCAGTATCTCTGAGTAGCAGACTGTTTGTTAGTTCATTTGATGGAGCTCGAGGGATCAGTCTGCACCTGCGGGCTTTTCAGACACTTAGCGTCCTACGTCATGACACTTCCCCCACATTCACTGATTTGACACACATTGACAGACATACACTCACTGACAACACACTGACATGCACTCTCAGTGACAGACACACACCCTCACTGATAGACACTGACATTCACTGACAGGCATAATGACACAAACACTCAATGACAGAAACACAATTTCACTGATATGAAACACACACTGATAGACAAACTCACTGACAGACATACTGAAACACAATCTCAATGACAGGCACAGACTCTCACTGATTTGAAACACACTGACAGACACACTCACTGACAGACACACTCTCACACACAGACAAACACTCACTGACAGGCCACCTTCTGGGTCCCTTGTGACAGTCCATAGGCCTGACACCTACTGGCGTCTGCCCAGTTTCAGCCCTGGTCTACTTATATTTGGTTAATAAACCCACCACAAAATTCAGTATGTTTTCCAGACACATACATCCAGTACACACACACATGCCTCCCAACATACCTGATTACTGTGGGACTGTCCCAATATTTGGGTTCTGTCCCGCTTTTGTTCCCTAGTGTCCTGGTTTTGGACACCAGGGGACTACCCAAAAAAGTGTAGTGCGAGGACATCATTAGATGCCTGGTTGAGTGACAGGCAGCCTGGCTTCCAGTCATGCCAGACTGACCTACCAATCCTTTGGGCAGACATTCCCATTGATGTAAAGTGGTCAGTATCCCTTTAAACACAGTCAACCCTGTTAGGGTTATTCACAAATCTCAGAATTTTTACAAATGAAATCTAAATGGCTAAGCTGAAAAAATGTTTCCACGTCAGCTAGTTTAGCCTTGTTTTTTTTTTTTTTTTCATTTGGATTTAATCTGCTAAAATTCTGAATTGTGTTAATAATCCTGTCAATGTCCAGGGCTCCGATTTAACTGAAATTATCTTGTGTATCCAGTCAAGTGGATTAGACAACTGCTTTATTTTTAAACAAGTTTAAAAAAATTAATTTTAAAATTCCACAGCCCTGTAAATATAATAAATAAGGGTATCCCATAGGTACATCCTTAATTTTTTTTTTTAATTCCTGTCTCTCCTGCACTATAGGAAAACTACTAAATACATCAGATCCACTTTAATCCCCTGGAGATAAGTCACTGCTTCAAGCAGAAACCTGCAGCATTCTATTGGTAATTAGGGGTAAGAACTATATGGATGGTTATTAATAGGTTTATATTAAATATATGATTACCTAGAATGATATATAATTAATTGTCTCTGACATTCTATTGACAGACTCTGAAAACTAATTTAATCAAGGGGAAGAGATAGCAGCAAATTAGCCCAGCTGACGCAATTTGTGTTTAAAGTCCAGGCCACTAATTGCAGTCACATGACCTACATCCAGTTACATTACTGCAGTCGAGGGAGAGAGAAAAAACAAAAAAAATAAACATTTGTGATTAAATTATTTATATGGGCGGATAGGTATTGTAATGGCTAACGAGGTAAGGCTTGTGTAAAACTGGGGAGAAATATTACCAGGAAATAATATTAAGGGGGACTTACATAGGACATAGAAAAAACCATAAGAGCGGTAAGTGTGTTTAAAAGGGGTAAGAGGTAGGTGGGTTTAAAAATGGGCTGCTGTAGGACCGGTATAGAAAGTGGGTAAATGTGATATATTAGTTTTTATGAGGACTTTATAAAAGAGGAATGGGATCTCTGAAAGGTGACTAATGCTTTTAGCTGTCTGGGCATCGTTAGAGTTCTAGTCCATTAGAAGCTGGGGTGTAAGGTTTTTTTTTTTGCTGTTTTTCTTAAATCAGACTTTTTTTTTTTTACTAAAGTATGAAATGACAGGAATTTTAAGTGAAGGGCAGAAATAGGATAGAACTTTGTAATTTTTTTTTGTGTGTGTTTTGACAAGCCCTCCTCCAGGTAACTCCCAGGGTCACCCTGTTTATTTGCAGATGGCGCTGGTTCTGCTGTCTTGTTTGCTGCTTGGATCAGTGTTGGTGGAAGGGGCACCATCAGGAGATGAGATTGTATACATGCCTGGTCTTGCCAAGCAGCCATCGTTCCAGCAGTATTCAGGATTTCTGACTGTGCCAGGGGGTATACATCTTCATTACTGGTGAGTAGGGTCTTAATATTTTCAAGTTCATAATTTAACTCGCGGTCTATCAGTTTTTACTTCCAAGCTTTGTTCTCTGCAGGTTTGTAGAGTCCGATGCGGACCCCAACTCTGTACCCCTTGTCTTGTGGCTCAATGGAGGTCCGGGATGCAGCTCAGTGTATGGACTTCTAACTGAACATGGCCCTTTCTTGGTGTGTGCAACTAAGAACCTCTTCTCTCCACCCACGGAGTGCACCCTGTACTTGGCATTTTATAAACCTTTTAGTGCTTTTAAAAAAAAAAAAAATGTTTTACCTTGTGTTTCAGATCCAGCCAGATGGTGTAACATTAGAATACAATCCCTACTCCTGGAACAAGGTGTGTGTATGTGTGTATATATATATGTGTGTATGTATATGTGTATATATATATATATATATATATATATTATAATATAAAATGTTTTCCTTTTATTCCCGAGTAAAGTGATACAGTGTATTGAGAGAGAGAGAGAGCGCTATAACTTTATTTTTACTCCCACACAGATTGCCAATGTTCTGTACTTGGAGTCCCCAGCTGGTGTTGGTTTCTCTTATTCTGATGATAAAAACTATAAAACAAATGACACAGAGGTAACTGTTTTGTGTGTGGTGGATGGATATAATTATATAAAAAATTTAAAGGACCACTAGATTCCCCAAAACAACTTTAGCTTAATGATGCAGTTTTGGTGTATAGAACATGCCCCTGCAGTCTTACTGTTCAATTCTCTGCCATTTAGGAGTTAACCCCTTTGCATCATTTACTAAAATTAGACTCAGATTGCCGCGATCCCAGCATTTATGGGGTTAATGC